TTGAGAAAATAGGTTGGAAACTTGAATATGGTTTTATCACCAGGGTCGAACAGCTTCAAAAGCCATTCTAAACATACTTTGTGAGACTCAATCATCTTTGAATTTTGTAATGGAATTCACTGGACATATGTAAAATAACTGAAGTAGCATGGAGGAGATGGAGTTGAAAATAATGAGCTGATCCTGCACTGTCTGAAGTCCTGAGAAGGCATTACTCTTTTGTGGTCATCTTGGGTGGCTGGCTCAGTATGCAACTGTTTATTCTTAGCTCCTGGCTGTGTCATGCTGCCATATGATGGAATGGAAGTCTAAAAGGAAGCCAAAAGCCAAGGGCTGAAAGTTTGGTGTATCATATGTCAATGTGGAATAAATAGTTTGGACAATACTGTTGAAGAAAGGATACCTAAATTATACATGTGAATGGAGGGTGTTCAGATTTTCAAATCTAGCATGTCTCCCTTTAAAACATAGCACAGGACATGTACCACAATATACCTCCCCAACAGCAGAGCTTAAAGAGCATACAGAAAAGATGGTCTGTATGCATGTCTTAAAAATGACTTGTTCTCTATTGTCTGTTGTTGTAGATTTAACATAAAAAAGATAAATGTGCAATTCCAAGGTGGAAATGGTTTATTGGTGACATTTATTAAACAGAATGTAAAAATAATATTAATTTCTTAATGTAAATAGTCTCTGGACAAGGAATGGCTAGGTCTAACTGTGTACCTATGGGCTGCTGTAGATATAATTAGTAATTTAAGTGTAAATTTCTATTGCAAAGATAAAATTCAATCAATTGAATTAAGAAATTAATTTGGCCCTATGCTTTTCTATGGTGAAAGTTTTAAATATTTGTCTGATGGTCTGAATGGGTGAGGTAAGGCTTTTGGAGGGAAGGATGATGTCCCTTAAATTGAAATCAAACTCTTATCTTGGTTGTTCTCAATCAAAATCAAATTAATTCATTGGTTCACCATCATGAATAGCTATTAAAATTCAAACCTGCCTTCTTCCTGCACTCACTTGTTTTTCCTGCTTATGCAGAAACAAATTCAAATGGAATTAAATGATAATCAGGGTTGAACTTGACATGCGTTTACTTACGGTAAACCACTTTTTAACACATTTTTAATATGACAATCCTAACCATTTAAAATTGTCCGGACAACCCTTTCCCTTTTGCCGTCTTAATAAACAGCTGAGAAAATACAGCAAAATCCTTACACGGGAAAAAAATTCAGTTAACTTCTAACATAACTTGAAGGCTGGAAAAAAGATTAGGGCCTGCACTGTAGAGTCAGTGAATTTTGTTTAAAACACAGATAGAGGGTCTGAAATTCTAAAAGCATTTTGTTAAACTGTATGTTCAATTTCTTTTTTTAAAGCTTGCTTATTTGCAAGTTTAGTAGAATGGATTTTCCATGCCAGATAAGCCATTTTCAATTAGTAATATAAATGTCAGATTACATTGGAGGAATACAAGATGAACCTGTATCATTTTCATTTGATAGATACAATATTGAAGAAAACCATGATTTAAGAATTCTGATTTTTGCTCTTTTAGATTTTATTTTGTAGTGTATGTTATCTTTTGGAATTGGTGGATTGACTATTCTGAATGCTCGTGTTCTGACTTTATGTGGAGCTGAAAGGGGAAGGGAGGGGTGACTTCTCTTGCATCTTGCCTGTATTATGTCAAAGTCTTGCACAGAATCTGGGATCGCCTGACTCGTGGATTCAAATTCCCTGTCACATGCCCTCACATCATGTAACACTTTTCATAAATGAATCAAACTTTATCTTTAGACTGACTGGCTTGCTTTTTCTTGATGTGGATGTGTTGTGCCTGCACAGTCAGTATTTACTGTATCTCTTAACTGTTAAAAGGATGCAAAGTTACATCATCTCTAATATGTTAAAATCGTTTTGAGTAACTATTTTTCTCATCTTTTTACACAGCTGAGGGAAGACACTTTCTTTCAGTCGCATCGGGTTCAGACTGGTGCTAGTTTGTGCTGTTTGGATTTATTTTGTTTCTAGATATCCAGTAATGCTCGGTGCATTCAAGATTTTTTTGTGTTAAGGTATTATTTTCAAAAGCAGTTAATGGTTTCAGGGATTCTGTTTTTTGTTGGGGTTTTTTTGTTGTTTTTTGTTTGTTTTGTTTTTGTTTTCCTGTGTACTTTTTCTAATACTAGACTTTTCTTGTCTGGAGACTTGATATAGACTACTATAGCAAAGATTGTAAGCATCTGTGATAAACAAGTTTTTAAATATCATAGCTGTCATTGATCTAGTATTTTAGAAAGGCATATGGAATCCCTTCCTTAAATTAAAGAATTTGTGAGAGACCAGAGAGAAAAATTCAGTGAAGAAGTTGTATCAAAATTCTTACTCTCATTTCCCCTTTCCCCTCTACTCCAGAGAAGATTTTGTTTACTGATGATCATGCTCTTTAATTTTAAAGAAAACTGCATAAAGCACAGGTCTTTTTGGTTCATGTTTAAGCCCTGGTAACGAGTTACTGCAAGATGATGGGCTGCAGAAAGCATATTGTATATATAAAGACATGAAAGTTGTATGGCATTTCTGTAAATATTACTTTGTACATAGTTACTGTTTTAAAAAGTTTTTGGAAGAAGTATGCAATTTTTTCACCTAGAGAGTAGTTTATTACTTATTTAAGTAGTATGTTTAAATTTAGTCATTTCAGGCGCAGTTCATAAGCCTGTACCAAAATACCAACAGTAGGACACTCATCAGGTAGTTTAGATTTGTAATTTGGTTTTAAACATGCAATAGGTTGTTTCAGGTTAAGTAAATATTGTTTTCTTCATACTTTAGTAATCTGATCTTGATCAAAACCAGATTGCTGTATTGGAAGGGAAAAGGAGGGGAAAGGAGTTTACTTCTATAAAAACACAGTAAGCAACAACTACAGTTGAGGAAGTGTATTTCTGTAACCCCAAGTAAGTTATTTATTCATGGCAAAGGTCAAGATTATACAAACCTAATATATCTGTAATCTCAGAAGATGTGTTTTACTTCACAGAATTGCACTGTCAAGAGAATTATCTATTCCTTCAGTTCTGTGTTGTCTGAAATAGCCATCTTTCAAGGTGTAATTAATGTACCTTGGCAGTCAATAGGATATGAGTAATTGTGGCTAATTCTGAAAGTAAAAATAATGAGGAAAAAGGGCTATGTTTGATGTAGCACAAGGGTGTGAGGTTTGTTGCCAAGTGTTGTTTAGCAACTCATTCTATGCAGAGAGGGCATGGCAATGCCTGCATCTTTCTGGAGAGAAGTTATATTTGGTGTTCTACAGGGAAGATGTGACTAAATGACATTTTTCCTTAGACTGTGGTTAGCAGTCACTTGCAAATGATCAGCAGTTGCCACAAACTCCACCCTGAAGTTCCTGTTTCAGTTGCAGGAATATCTAGCTAGCTGTTTCAAATTGAGCCATCGTCTTGTGGCCTTTCTGTTTATAGGTCAAGTCTTTTGTGGCCAAAGCTTCCACTAGGAAACTAAATATTTCGTGAGAAATATGAGTGGAATCATTGTTTTCACTGTTTTCTTTATTGCTTATTAACTTTAGTCTTAAGTGTCTACATTTAAAAATTCTTTAAAATCCATTCATGTGCTAATTAATTCACATATGACACTTGAAAATAGGACAAAGCATCTTACTCTGCAGAGTTCTGGTGCTTAAGTCAATAAGCACAGAGGTGAAATGAGTTTGTTCACTTCAGAGATGTAGCAAGTGATGCTTTAATGATCTTGCATGCTGATCTCTAGGAATTTTATAGCTTCCTCTGAACAAGTTCAGCAGTAACCTGTGCTAAACATCAATCAGATTTAAAACCCAATTATTTTCTAGCAGAAATTAAAAACTATTGTTTTCAAGTATGTGGTGCTAACATTTGTTTTCTTAGTATAATTAATCTTCAGTTGAACAAAGCGACCAACATGCATCTTAATCTTGAAAGGCCACTGCTTTCTGGAGGTGGGAAGGATGGTGCACAAAGTGCAAATCTGATAATAGCTAATCACACTCCCCATTACCTAAATTCTTCCTTTCTTAAAGCTGAGGCTTCTGTTGTTTTCATAAGCAATTTTTATACTTCTTTGCAAAATGTGACTTTTATTTTTTAAAGCCACAGCATTTTGTTCTGGCAATCAAATAGGCCTGCTAAATGTAAACAGATCTTGTGCAACTTGCATTTAAATCTGAAGGAGGATATGAATGTAGGTGTATGTGCACTGGCATTTTTCACAAAAGGCCCAATTATGTTTGTCCTGGGAAAGATTGTCTTGGGTAATCCTTAAAAGACAGAATGAAGCCTTAAATTTTGCTTCTGTGAAGTTCTTTGAGATGAGAAATATAGCTACAGTTGATTTCAGTTTTGATCAAGTACTGATGTAAACAGTAGATTACATTTATGAGACGAAAACTCACCACCATGCTAGATTATATTAAGATTAAAAAAAAGTTAATCGTGGAAGACATGCTAGAATACAGTGACGATAGTAATATCTAGTTCTTCTAATCAAAGTCATTTATCTTAACATAGTTGGATGAAAAAAAAAATAATCAATGTTTTCTGCATCTCCACATCAATACATTGTAATGATTTTTCCTCACTGTTACGGCAGCTTCATTATTTCAGTGGAAGTACCGTACGTACACCAGCAAAGTAGCATCTCTGATAATCAGGTTACATCTAGAATCTTCCTAACTTGATAAAATTTTCTTCTATATTGTCATTCATACATGTATAATACAAAATAAAGCTCCTTCAGTGCTCAGCTTTTAATAATCCTGTTCATAATTAAATATAAATCTGACTAAAACATATTCTTCTACATTAAAGTCTTGTCATAAAAACATTTTGAATATAAACCTTCGATACTCAATAGAGCGATACAATATATATACACAAATGCACTTTTTTTCTATTAGTAGCAAGCATTTTGATCACTTTTTGCACAACTTCACAGTCATATGTTTTATACAACCACTACTACATCAGACTTCTGACTGCTCATTACTGTCAGGAATGACAGACGTTAAGGCAGCCTGACAAAAACGATGTAATGTTGACATTTTTGTTTTCTGTTCAATATACAGTCGCAGTTTGTCTCTGAAGGTTTCGCCTAGAAAACTGTAAATTAAGGGGTTCAAACAGCTATTAGAAAAAGCTGCTAGGTTCACAATATGTCCTGTTAAAGGATAATCATGCCTGAAGGATGGGTTGCTTGAAGGCTCGCTTTTCTTTTGAAGAAGTTGAACGCTAATGAAGACATTTTCAGGTAGCCAGCAGATAAAGAAAACCAAGACAACAACAAAAATCATTCGAAGAGCCTTTTGTCGCCGCAGACGAAGACTCCTATGCTTGTGTGCTTTTATAAGAACTCGAACAATTAACGAGTAACAAAGACCGATGATCACAAAGGGGATAATAAACCCCAAGGTTATTTCTAACCACTGGATTTCTTTTACATCTGCAAAACAAAAATAGACCTCTCCAGTGTGTTGTAAATGCACAGCTGTAAATGGAACTAGTGCTGCAGAAATAGACGCCATCCATATGAGACCACAGCTTAATCTAGCATGTTGCATAGTGCGAAATATGTTGGACCTCATTACTTTTGCCAGTGCTATGTATCTGTCAAAACTCATCCATGTCAGAAAGAAAATGCTGCTATACATGTTGATCTGAAGGAACAAAGACATAAAGGTACAAATAATAGTGATATCATAATACTTTTCATCAAGATTAAAAACCTCAATGAGAGAATCGGCAACTAAAATGAGATCAGCTACTGCAAGATTTATGAAGTAAAGGTCTGGAATAGTCATTTTTTCACGAAAGCTTATGTTGACAACCAGTATCAGAATGTTTCCTACAAAACCAATAGGAAAAAGAAAGATTGTGTAAAGACATGATAAGAAAAGACCAATAACGTATTGTTGGTGTTCTGATTTATCAGCTAATCTAGAAGATATGCTTTCATTACACAAATGTGATCCATTTAGGTTAAAAGTTGTGCTGTTACATATAACAGGTGATACTGAGGCAGAGTAAGTTTCCATGGTTAAAATATCTGCAGAAAAGATGTTAGTACTCACAGTCTGGTGGTAATGTCAAAAAATTCAGATTTTTGGTTGTTTTCAGCTAAGTTCATAGTAAGCATTTTGATTGGAATGGAAATAAGATGTAAACTTTTGTAAAGGAAATTAAAATTCTTTAGAAGTCAAATTAATTAGGCTTAAAATTGACTGAAATATAACAATACAAATAGTAAATTTCTTAAATTTTTCTACAGGACACTATATACATTGCAAATGAGAGAATCTGCAGTTCCTGTATGCCTTAAGATCATGTAGGAATCTTTTTACCATTGTGGTACTTGGATCTCTTTAATGAAAGCTTTTCATCAACAGTGTTTCTTCGTGCAAGTCGGAAGGTAGTAGAATTTTAACTCCATTTGTTTTCTTTTGATAATCAATGAACATCCTTGGACCTGCAATTTGCAAATGGAAAACGATTAATCGCATGTTCCAGCATTGTACCATGTACCACATGCTTCTCCTAACTTAACATACACAGCTGAAGTTGTAGGAAACATCATGTTTGAATATATATATGAAGGCTCAGTTAAAAGAACTTAAACTTGTCCTAGATGATAATACATTGTGAGGGCAGATCTGTTAAAATTTTGTGTACTCTTCAGGGATTCAGTACTGAAAAATGCAGAAATACAGAAAATCAGATGAGTAAGTTTAGCCTACTGAAGGAAAACTTTATGTAGATATATTAAAAAAATGTATATTTATTTTATCATCAGTTTGTAAGGCTATTCAGTAGCAGAGTCTGTGACTGAGAAGGCAGCGGAGATGAAAAGCAGTTGGTTCCTCCTGCTTTCAGTGGGAAAGAAAGGCAAATTTTAGAAATGAAGGTAATACAAGCAGCATATTGATTTACACCAACATTATTATACTCAATTTGCTTTTCTTTGTGATTAATTATGTGGCACTGACTTCCGGATAGGAATGGAAAATATCAGTTATCTGATTTGTTTACTTATAAACATTGAATGCTGTGGAGTTGAAGGATTGCTAGAAGTTTATTTAAAAGAAAAACAAACAAACAAAAGACACCCCAAACAAATAAAATGGCAAGAAAATTATAATCTAGGGTATTTTGTGTTAAATTTTAAATATTTTGAATTGCTTTAATCTCCATCTTACTACCAAAACCTTGACTTTCATTACACTAAAACATATTTAAAAATATTCAATTGTTTACTAGTAAAATTCATGCATATTTCCACATTTTAATGACTTGAATCCTGCTGATGTATAGTCTGGGGGAGAAAAAGGAGCAGACCACTAATGGAGTAGTAGTGTTAGAATATTTTCAGTCAGAAATACAGCTCTGAGTTTGCTTACGTGTATTCAAGTTGTAACTATCAGATACTTAAAGATATCGATTCCAAAGCTTTTATTTCGTAATGAAATAGGCATAAGTACACAGTAGCTGTTGCTATGTTTTGAATCATTTTCATAATGTAAGTGTAATTTCATATGGATATTTTAGCATAAAGACTTATTTGAAGAAGGTTCGGTGTTTGTTTCAAGCAACTATGGAAGTCAGACATGAACTGTTGTCTTTTATGTAACATCCTTTTATTTTCGAATAAGGCAGTAAAACTGCTTTAAATACAATAAAAGATAAGTTAACAGTCCAAGCAATTGATTTAAAAAGGTTGATCTGTGGTCAGATTTTAATTACATGTGAAAGGCCACCAAAAGCCAAGCAATTACAAGCATTACAGGTAACCATGTACTGTGAAACACTTTATTTTACCTTAATTCCATTTCTCCAGAGCTGATTTTCCTCCAGACAACAGAAGGCTGGTTCTTGCTCGGGTACGCGCTTAATGGATGTGTCAACTTCGACTGTCGTGTCAGTAAAAACTTGTATTTAGGTGTGCAAAGCTGCAGTGAATGCCACCTGTTGATGATTCAGCAGTAAAAAAAGAACTCATATAAAAGTCTATTCTGTTTCAAAACGTCTTAAGTAAAGGATAGTTTACAGCAAAATGCAGATCTTGCTGCATGTCCTTGGCAATAAAACAAGCTTTATAGATTCCCAGGGTTGTTCTAATTTGTGTGCAGTTGAAGTGCTGCTGAACAGCCTTATAAGACTAGAATTAACCCTGTTTCTGCTGGTTTCTTTTTTATTAGAACTAGTCAAGCATCTTTTCTCTCATATTTGTCAGTTTTATTTTGCCTAATGTTCATTTCGCCTTCCTTTCTGCCTCTAGCATTTTTTCAAGTTATATAGTCTATTCAAATGTGCAGCTCAGCTGATCAATAATTAAGAGATTTATTTGCAAATTGTAAGTAAGCATATTTTACATAGATATAAAGCAATAATTACTGTTATACATGGTATTTTTTTTAAAACCCTCTGGTCAATCAAAAGAGAAATATTCGCTTGAGAGAAATCTAGCAGTTGAGAAAGGTCTTTTGCTAAACTGACAATATAAATTTCATTTTTCCTACCTTCAAGTCGATCCCATTTTGTCTGTTCGTATTTAAATTTTCAGGTATACATCGTCATCCTCACACTTCTTAGAATTGCTCAGCTCAAAATCACATGGGCAAAATAAGCTTATTTTGTAGAGAATGTGGAGCCTCAGTCTTGCATAAAAACACCAGTACTGCAGGTGGAGTTTTGCATTTAATCTGTAGGGGGGGGGAGGAAACTACTTGACATTTCCAGAAACACCACCTACTGGTGGCCAGAATTCTTAGAATGGAAAGAAAGTTAAACCTTTCTTTCTCATAAGAGAAATATTTTATTTGGGTAAGTTGCTTTTTATGATTATATTGATCTGATACCAGAAAGTTAAGTGCCATTAATGGGTATGCTGTACATTGATGCAGCATTCTGCTGCTACTGGAATAAGATGAATTGGATCTCAGCATTTAGGATTTCAAGAAGACAAAGTTACAGTTTCAGAAGTGTGGAGTATACAATTATCATATCATTATAATGGATGTATTATATCTCTTACAGTTGTCAAATATTTTTAGGTTACAAAAGATGTCATCTGTAGAGAAGTGAAGCAGAAGTTCTTTACACATGTGGCTTTGGGAGTAGAAGACATTTTGCCTTCTAGTGCCATTGAGGCAAATATATTATTTGCTGATTTTTTTTGTAACGTGCTGTGCATAGGAACACAGGATTTTGGCAGTGTTACTAAAAATGTTTTTTAAGATGTTCTCACATGATGGCTCTTCATAAATAGTTTTGAAATAAATTATTATTTAGCTTAAAAGAAAGTTTGCACAGATTAATGCTGGTAAAGATTTTCTGAACAGAAAACTTTCCTTGTGTGTGGAATGGCTTTCTGGAGTGTCTTTCTACAGGGCTATGGGGACAGAGAGCCTAAAGTGTTTTGCTGTGAGAAGTGTACAAATACGATTGTGTTATAGGATTGGAATAATTGTAGTGTTAGAAAAATCTTGTGATACCAGCTTTGAATGTCTTAATTTTTTGCTGTCCTAAAGAACAGGATTATAAAGAGTCTGTATTGTTGTTTGTGATCATGTGGTCTCTCTGTACTTCATTCTGTCCTTCAGAGCTTTCCCTGATCTTGTAAGGGCCAGAAAGATTTTTTTTACGTTCCTTCATGCATAATGTTATCTTCTGGGTGTTTGTTGTTTGTAATTATGGGGGCCTGGATTTGTTAATCAGCTGGTCTGTCTGTCCTTGTTTTTCTAGCTGTGAATATCAGGTGATTTGCTATTAAAATGTATAATTCTGAGTGCTAATTTTCTTGTTTGAATTCATGATAAGAAATATGTCACTTTGCCATACTTCTCGAATTGTTAGGAAACTTTCTTTTGAAAGACTCATGAAGTAGCTGTTTTTTCTGCTAGTAGAACTATGAAACATAAAAGGCCAAATCTAGTAGTATTACATTGTATTATTATCTTGTAATTAGTGAGTTCTCTATTTCACTAAATATTTTGAGATGATCATGTGAATCCTCGGAATCCTGTTTCCTAAAACAGATGACAACATCTTCAGGCTCTTGTTTGTGCAGGCAAATGATTGTTACTGATTAATCTGTCTTAATCTCATTGTTCATCACTTCCGTATTCCATAAAATCCTTAAAACCAATTTTAGCAGCTGCTGAACGTTGACTTTCCCTGTCAGTTGCTGATATTCCATGGGACTTCATAGGGAGTGCCTTAATGATCCATACTTAGTCACAGTTGTGACAGTATTAAGCATTACAGTTCCGCCTGTCATACCTTATCTTGATTGTTGCTGAGAATGTGTGTGAAACCAACTGGTGCAATAGCATTCATATAATGTCCAACCTCAATAATCCAGCATTTAAAGTTTTTCCTAGCAGTTTATTTTTAAATCTGTAGTAGTCAGCCTCTAAACCACTGTATATATCTCAACAAACATCCCTAACTATAGAGTCTTTAAGGACCACTAGTGTAATTGTCTCTGATGTACTTAGGTGCACCAAGAGGCTTAAAGTGGGGTATAATAGAAGGTATTCTATGTAATCTAGCAGACTTCAATATATGTGCGTGCTATTGTCTTGCAAAAAGGTGACAGCTGAGGAGGAAGAAAGTAGGAGGTGTGAGTATAGGAGAGAACAACATAAGAGGTCGGGTGTATCACAGCTCTTGAGCAACAACTATACGGCAGCCTCTCCAGCGTGATAATAAGCAGGATAAGCCCTGTAAGATGTAAGAGCTGTTGGATTCTGTCAGAAGCGTGGAAGTGCTTTGGGTATGAAGCTATTGAGTCTTGGAAAAATTAGATCAGGGCCAGGGTGTATAAAGCTGAGAAAAAGTAAGGTACTGTATTGCATGGAAGGGGAAGGAAGCATGAATTAAAATTGTGTTGGAATGCTTACAGTGTAATATAACCATATGCAGAAGAAATAACATTTGTACAAGAATCTCTACTGAAACTTTCTCCAAAGGAAAGACAGATGCTGTTGTAATGTTCATGAAGTTTTGCAAGTAGATTGATCTCCTCCAAATTCTTTCTCACCTTTCTGTTAGCATGGATACTGACTGACCTTTTTCAACCACTGAATGACATCTGTCTGCGTCCGTTACCCTGTTCTAGAGCACCCTCATACTTTATCCTGTCCAGCCTCAGTAACTTTCCCTTTCTTGGAAATAATCAAACTTAGTTTGAGTTGGAATTAATTGTGTTCTGTACCTGCAGAAAACCTTGTATAGAGTTTATTTTGTGTGTTTAGGCTTTTCAGTTGCCAATGATTCTGAGAATGACTTTTTCTTCCTAAAAATAATTTTTAAAAGTTCAGCTTTTTCTTCTGCAGGGACAACACTTGTACCCATTCAAACTATTCTGGTAAAAACTTTTTATTTTTCTTAAAGTGTATACTGCAAAACTCTTGGGTTGGACCACAGAATGTTGTATAGTGAAAGAGGATTCATCATGGGACTTCAGGCTCTATCTAAATGCAATTAAAAAATAAAATTCGCAAAGCATAAATAATTTTTACTTTAGTAATTGAGTCTGGCAGGCCTTTGCTGGACACTTGTACCATGGAAGTGAAACACATTCTTTCATTCTAGCCAATTAGTGAATCAGTCTGTCGTGCAACATATATGGTATAAATGTTATATACAGTACTTATTTTGGCTGAATTGCTTGAGCTTTCACCCTCCCCCAAATCTTCTGCAACTACCTCAAAATCAAGATAAATAATGCTGTAGCCGTTTCAGGGGCTCGAAATTAGAACGTAACTAAGGCCAGGCTTAGTAATATGTGCAGGGGTGTAGGAGCTTGAGTTGTGATTCAAGTGTGCAAATCCAGTCTCTCTTTAGCTCAGATACTGTTTTGCAATGGGATCAGATCAAATTTGAGCCAACTGGTTCAGCAAAGATGAGCCTCTTAGCCTCTACATGTTCTATTCCAAAACATGTTATCAACTCAGAAATTCATGCTTAAACTTCAGCAACCTGCTCATTTATCTTCTTTTACTGAGCGGAAAGGTTTTCTGAAAAGCAGGCCAAAGTCTTAGAAAGATATGAGTATTACCAGTACAGAAGTAAAATACTTTTCCTTGAATTTTCCAGTATATCCCTTTAGTTAATCTTGACAGCATGCCTATAAAAATATATGCTCTACTTCTTCTGGAACATAGTGTTCAAAACTAGGTGAAGCCTGGAAGAAGTAAATGTTCAACAAAGCTGTTGCTGGTATAGGGGAAAAAAATATCTCTGAGCAGGGAGATTCTATCTTGTTCTTAAAAATACACTTCAAATTATGAATAATTTGAAAATCATTACTTTTAATCTTAGCCAAAGCTGCTCTTTTCTCCCTTGTATCAGACTATTTTAGAATGTCTTTTGAGGACTGTTTCTGTTTCTTCCCCCATTCCACATCGAGATGTTTGCCCTCATAGTCTAGCTGGATGTAAGTAGACTTTCTCTAGGACTGCATGTTCATTGTCCTGAATTTTAATGTAAGCGTTGAGTAACTTTATCAAGAATGATTTAACAAAACATTTCTGTGTTGCTATAAGTTATATTCATAACTATTTGAATTATTGTTCTGCATTTTTCAACCTCTTATCTCCTGTTTACCTTTGTTTTCTCCTCTTCAGTTACAAAGTCTTTTCATTGTACATGGAGATTTCTTTATGACAATATAACCAGCCATCCAGAAAATACTCTGTTTTTTCCCATGACAGTAGCCGAGGACAAGGAAGAGACCAGAGTACATTCACTCGTATCTCACAGATGGCAGTCAGAAGCTATGCCCAGGAGTACTCAGACTTACTCATAGTAGTTCGTTCTTGACAAGATGCACTCGT